TTATTCCTCCCATTAACTGGGGGATTATTCGGAGATCAGACGGGACAGGGCCGGACATCTAGTTGACGTTAAGTCTTTAACAAGAATCTGCCACAATCTTCTCCTTTCACTGTTCATACCTTGCACACCCCCCCTCCCCCCTCCCGTCACTCCGTCCCTCCTCCTCTTTTTCCTTCATCTTTCCAGCTCTCTCCCGTTCTGTCTTCATTTCTCCTCCGTTTCCCCTCCTCTCTTCTTCTGTCTCCGCGCTCCTCCCTGAGTGACAGTTCAATGCACAGCTCTCCCAGGCTTATCTAGCCCCAGCAGATGGTTGACTTGGATCACTGTTCATACGCCACGATCTGGGCTGGCGATAAAAACTGCTACGGAGGGAAATATACACTATCTGTCCCTCGCTGGCGCGTTCGTTCCTTTGACTTCTTCTCTCTTCGCCTCGTCCTGATTGTCTCTCCTGATTCAGCACTCTTCCCGCACCGGCCTGTAGACCTTTCCTCGCCTCAGTATCACTCCTCACCTCGACACATCCCTCCATCTCTGTGCATTGAATCTGGTGCTGGGTGATTGTCTCTGGTTCCCCGCTGGGCTGGCGCCTGTCTAAAGGGCCCTAGGATTGTCAACCACCGAGGGGGCTCCAGCCATGCCAGAGGGCCCTCCTCTCCTTCCCCTCTCCTCCGCTCTGATATCTCATCTCATCTGGTCCCTCGTCATCTCTGCGGGACAGATTATAAAGGTCAAGCCGTACCTCTTCTCTGCCTCCAAGCGCGCGCCCCGTCTACGCGTTGCGGACACATTTGAGAGGAAGAACAAACAATCCTCAAAGTGAAGCAGCATTTCATTTCTGTGATCACCGCACTCGTGCAACTGATGTACACTTCACAGGCAGCCTTCGCTCGTTTTATGTTCACTTCACTAGCTTGGATTGCTCACATGTAGGCTTCTTTTTTTTCTTTCTTTCTTCCTCTTTCTGCAGGAGCCAGGGAACAAAGGAGAGAAGAAGCGTTTTAGCTGCCACTCGAAGATGACGAAGAAGGGAGCTGGGAGTGATTTGAACAAGGGGACACCTTTTGCGTGGCGACGGGGAAGTGGAACAAAAGGTTCCACGGATCCACTCTGTGATGTGGGAGGGAAGGGCGTGAAAGCTAGCTTGTGTCGGGACGACTGCGATTGCGGCTTGTTCTGAGAAGTAAGAAGAAAGACTGTTGAAGCTTGTCCTGCGATAAGAACGGCCATGTCGGCATGGACGCTCCTCTGCCTTTGACTTGTGTAAAAGTGTTCATACACCTTCAACTTTTTATACTTTGAAATGTTGCAACCACAAATGTCACACTAACAGTCGTGATGAAACGAACGATTATTGAAATAATCGCCAACTAATTTAGCAATCGATTAATCGCTAACTGGAGTACGCGGGCCCAAACAAAGACCAACTGCCCAAAGAACAACAAACTTAGCAGTAGCTAAGCCAAACCTAACAAGCCCAACAATGCATGGTCTAGTCAAAGTAATGACCTAAATCCAATTGAGACTTGAAAAGTGATGAGCATAGAGATTCCCCATCCGATCTGCAGCGTAGTAGAAGTTCAGTCTTTAGATGTCCTAAGAAGAACTACAAAAGATGGTTCAATAAAAGTACCGACTCAGGAGGGACTGATACAAATCCATGCCACAATGTCCTGAATTTTATCTACAGTAAGCTGATACTTTATGTTACTCCATTGCATAAAATTCCAATAAAATACATACAAGTCTGAGACAAAATGGGGGAAAGTTCAAGTATACTTTCATAGGCCATTGTGTTTCTCCGAGGCCCCAGATAATCCGCAGCCATCTTAATCTGAACTGTGGAACCTGGCAGCCACTCAGGAGCACCTGCATCCGTCCAGCCTGACCCGCTTTTGTTCCGGTGTGACCCCCCTCCCCAACTTTGTCCCTAATTAACCCAACAGAAACTAATTAAACACAGCTATGGCAGACCAGATGCCTGAGTGAGAGAAAGAAACAGGGGGGAAAAAACAAAAAGCAGGAGGACACGGGGAGATGAAGAGACCGGACCGGCATCGCAGGCGGAGGAAGGAGGTGGAAACCCAAAAACCTGAGAGGCAACAACTAGATTGGAGTGTCAGTCCGTGTTCTGACTCTCTGCCTGTAGCGCCTCGCTGACCTCATACCCCTTCGCTGGCTTTTTGTTTTTCCAAGGTATTTTGGATGCTCGCATGCAGACACGTCTGCCAAAAAGCTGTAATCACAAGCACACCAGTCACATGATGCAACCGACACCCCGGAGATATTTGGAAAACGGTAGAGGCGGTATGGAAACAGTGGCGAATAGAGACAGAAGCGGTGTATAATGAAAGCAGGAGGGAGGAGGAGGAGGGGAGTAACGGCAGGAGCGGGTACAGTGGCGGGGGGTAGGAAGAGGCAAAGGACGGGCATGTGAGAAAGAAGATAGGCCTAAATAAATATAGGCTCAAAGCAGCCAAATGACTCTGGCAAGACACTTTCTGCTCTTAGTCCCAAGCAAGCGCAGCTCTCTAAGTGATAGAGAAAGTAATTAAGAGAAGCCTGCTAAAGTAGATAGGCCTGCAAAGAAGATTTGAAGGGGAACTGATTGTGCATGTCTGATTCCAGCTCTTCAGTTAGTTTTCAGCCCCCAGGCTTAGCCCGTTTACAGAGTCGCCGCTCTTCCCGTTCTGTCGCTTCGCCTCTGTCTTTGTGGTAATGCTTTAGAAACACTATGTTGCTTTTATTTTTCTCAAAATATCCCATTGTAGATATGCAAGAACATGTCAGAAATGGTTGGGAAATATCTCAATCTAGACAGTTGTTTTGTTGGTGTTTTTGTCCGTTATTTGTAGACATGGGTGTGTGGCTTTGAGGATGAAAAGTTCTCACAATGTCTTTACCAAACTAAAGCAGGCCAAAGCAAACAACCCGAGGACAAGTAGCGCAACATTGCCACCCAGGAAAAACACAGCTATACTGCAAAACAAGGAATAAAACCAGATGAATTGGACTGTTAAAATGAGGGAGATCTTCCTTGATGAATCCAACAACACCCAACATTGTGCTTTTCAGTTTCTGTGCCTTAGAAAAGCCACAGTTTATACCCAAAGTGCAATGAGTGAAAGGATTAAGGATCAACATCTGATCATGCTTCAAGAAGCATTGCACTGTCAGAGGAGTACCGGACATCAAGTTCACAAATCTGAGATTTTTCAGAATTTTCTCATTTTAAAGAATTGAAAACATAGAAAATACATTCAAGTAAAACCTGTGAAAGCCGTGGCATGGATTTGTGTGCCAGAAGCTTTTTGCTGCAAACACAGCTGGATATTTTTAGATAACCTCAACCATCTTTACCCATTTAATCTTTTTACAGTCTTTTTAAAGTATTCTTGCTACATTCATCTTTCCTCAAACGTCGCCCGACTTCTCTCCCCAGATGAAAATAAAAAGCATATCCACAGCATGATGCTCCCACTTCCGTGTTTCAGCTTCAGTGTATCAGGCTGTATTATGTTTTCAGCAGGCCAAAAAGTTACTCTCGTCCATATCTGCGCTGTGTCCTCTGCATGGAGCTACTACAAATTGTAGTTCTAACATCTTTCTTCCAGCATTGACTTTTATTTTCTCTAAAAAGGTCATATCTTATATTCAAAAATACTTTACTAAAGGCAAATTAAAGAATAATAATAATGGTAGACCTCTCAGCTTGTATTAGTTAGAAGCATTTCCAGAGTTACTATTACTGGTCTCTTGGTTGCTTCTCTAAATAATGTTCTCTTTGTCCTTATTTATGTGTAAACATTTCTTAAATAAATCCATTTTTGTTCCACATCATAATGATGCTCTAATCTGTGTTGGTCCTTCGCATAAAAACCAAACTGCGTTAGTATTTGTGGTAGAATACAAAAAAGATTAACAGGCATGACTGGCCTATGTTTGCAATGCATGGTACAGGAAGATTTTTCTGTGTATATTCTTTTGCTATTGGCTATGACAAGAACAAAAAGCAGGTTTATAAGCATTTCAGTTTCTCTCCGTGCCAAGGCTGTGGTCTCTGTCCTCCGCAAAACACTGGTGAAATCAGGTACTTATTGTACATATTCTTTTTTTTTTTACCTTAATCTGTAAGGTTGTGTATTTGAAGGCCTTAAAACTGATTCAGATACAGCACGCATTACGGTAAGTTAAACTTTAAACATGGATTTATTTGTCAAACAAATCTACTGGTGCCATCTGCTGGAGAAATTGGGGTATTGTAGTAATGAGACTTACAGTGTCAACGTTTTGCCCTCTTGTAGTAAAGAAATGGATGCCAAGACTTACGCCGATATTTAATCCTCTGTAAATAAATAAATAAATAAATAAATAAATAAATAAATAAATAAAATAAAATAAAAAATTCATATTCTTCACGAGGGACAAAAGTGTTACAATTCAAAACATAAACCAGTAGTTGAAAATACCTATGTATGTGAAGGTTTAAATAAAACTGAAAGTAGATACACTAAATAGCGTTTCAGTGATTGTAAACTCAAAAGTGAAATCATTCACTAAATCTAAGTACATGAAAGCAATTTTTTACTTATTTTACAATGTTCAGGTGTACAGTTTTTACGTTTAAAGTTAAAATAATTACCTTCCGACTAAAGTTAAAAATGAACAATATTGCACTTGGAGAAACTTCTGTTTTATTTAAAACAACCTTATGAAGACACTGATGTTTGAGTAAATTTTTTTTAATGGCAAAATATCTTTGCACAAGAAAATGAGAAAATGTATTCAAAAATAAGCTTAAATTGCGCTTCTCTTCAACAGTGTTAATGATAGTCGACTATATCAATCATTGAAAAATGTAGTTTTGTAGAAATTTGACTGTAGTCCAAGAGGAGTGTGTATCTTTATCTACAGAAACACAGGGCGAAAAAAAAAGCATTTAGGTATTTCAAATGTGTTTCTTGTTTTCTCCAGTCGTTGTTTTAATTAAGTCGTAAAAACTACAACACCCATAGGTTACGCAACTGCCGTAAAACGTCTTCTTCTGTTGCAATGGCGTTTGCGGCAGCAGGGAAATCGAGGGGAGAGCAGTGACAAACGTCGCCAACGGTCACATTATCTCCTCAGAAGTGCTCGGATTTTTTACAATATTCGGTTCGCTGTTTCAGATATTGGTTGTGTAATTCTTCTCTTTGTGGATGAGATTGTGTTGGACGTTTCCGAAGCGCGTCTCTCCACTTTAATGCGGTGGGATGGCCACAGTGCCGCCTGGGCCTAGTAACGCACTGCCTTCATCCCCGGTTGAAGTTGCTCCTTTCTCCGGGGCAGGGAGAGCGGAGCCGGCGGTGGAAGCCGGAGAGGCGACCTACCGCGTGGAGGACAGCGTGTCCGCCGGTACGGGCAAGAAGTCTCAGCAGTCGAACGAGGTCAAAGGGTCGGCCAAGAAGAAGCATAAAAACATGCTAGCCCGGGCTAGCCCGGCGGCGCTCCACTTGAAAATGCAAGCCGGAGAGCAGCAGCAGCTAAACGGCTTGGTCAGCCCCTCGGAGGACCCTGACGACCACCAGCGCGCAGAGGGCCGACCCGACAATCTCAAACCGTCCGAGGACAACTGTGACAGCAGCTGTGGCAGCAAGGCTGCGGCCGCCATGAACAGTACGGAGCACTGTCAGCACGAAGGCCACAACCCCTTCTCCAAAAACGGCAACCACTCTCCTGTGACTAACAGCAGCGTGAACGGGATGCCGGCTTTCACGAGAACCGAGACGGCCCACGAAGGCGAGGACCAGTTTGACCATACGCAGCCCACAAGAGAACCCGGTGACAGCGACGGGCCCGGCGGGGAGGAGAGTCCGGCCGAGCCGCAGCTGCAGCCGCCAGCCGTGGAGCTGGCCCGGCTGGACCTGGGCGGCTCTCCCGGTAGAGCTGAGGGAGACAGCCACGGCATCCGCTATGTCCGCTACGAGTCCGAGCTCCAGATGCCGTGGATCATGAGACTAATCACCAAGGACTTGTCTGAGCCTTATTCAATTTACACGTACAGGTACTTCATCCATAACTGGCCGCAGCTTTGCTTTCTGGTGAGTACGACCCTGAAAACCTTCCACAGAGATTTTGTCCTCGACTCACAAATGTCTTAACATCCTGTGTTACTGAGCATTTATCACCTGTCAGTTTATTTCATGCGAAGCATTTATACAGCAACTTATCTGTTATCAAAAGAGATTATCAAGGTATGATAACTCTGAATAAAAATACCACAGTTTTACAGTATACAAAATATAACAGAATTCACGTAAAACAGCACAGCGTTAAATAGTTTCCACGCATTGATCGCTAGAATTGTAGAAGTTGCAATAAAAAATAATCCTTAATCAGCCGATAGTGCAAAATCCTACTTTTATTTTGTAATGTTTTTAAAGATAAATACATCAACCACCAACATTTGATTAATTTTGTGTTTAGTTTAGTAAAGCTTAGTTTGGTGAAGAGTACATGGTTTGACGCATAAATGAGGAATGTAGTTGTAGTTTGTTTGTCCTCTGTTAGGATTACACAATATATATTCAACATTATTAAAATAGGGGTGATAAGTGTTTTAAAAACTATTGCGGAGGTGAATATTTGTTGGCTAGTACATTCTAATTCTGAGTATTTTGAAAGTTTGCATGCCAATATGTTTTGTCTCAAAACTGGAGCCAAAAACACACCCAAAAAATCAGATTATTGGTAAGGTTGATAAGAACTCTTTTCCTCGTTTGCTATTGGTCTTAAAAAATTTCTTTCCCACAGTCAAAAATATGCAGTTCAAGAAAAATAAAAACCGGTAACGACAGAGATAGATGTCTCTCTACCAAATGGTATATAGATATAGTAGTGGTTTTGAAATGCTTGATGTTGGTTTTATAGCCTCCTGCTTTGCTGTTCTGTTCTTTGGAGCATTAACACACGGACAGCCAGCTGATATTAGTCGGACTTTCTGATCGGATGCAGCTGCTCCAGTAATTTTCTGCGGGACAGTTTGAGTCTGCTGGTTGCCGTTGGGGTCGGACCAGGCCGTTCAGCCGCTGCTGAACAGATGCGCTGGAAGCCGCTTGCTAGCTGTAGTTCTAAAACTACACTTTGTTCAGACTGATGGGTGGCGCTCTTTTAGTTCCTCCACCATGATAGTAGAGTAATATCTCCTCACAAGTTTCTCGTTCTTTTACATGAATGAAAACTTCTAATTTCAATCAGCTAACTCACAATAAGGGAGCAAACAAAAGGACATCTTTATTAGTAGCTGAAAGTCACGTATTTGGTTCCTCAGACGTACCATCAGATTCTCAAGTTCTGAACTTTCCCTTCCCCGAAAGGGTCAGAACCGCCACATGAGCTGCTAGAGGAAGCATGATGATGAAATGACAGTCAGAAGGCGACTCGGGGAGCCCGTGGATCTGACCGGATGGCTGATCCGCTGACCCCGGCTGACACTCGGAGGAGCAAAGTGCTGACTCTGCCTCTGTTACAGGCCATGGTGGAGCAGGAGTGCGTCGGGGCCATCGTTTGTAAGCTGGACATGCATAAGAAGATGTTTCGTCGTGGCTACATCGCCATGCTGGCCGTGGACTCAAAACACAGAAGGAAAAGTATTGGTGAGTGGCTTGAAACGCTCAAAAAAAAAAAAAAAAAATCTAGTAAACTTCATCCAGACTTTAATCACTGTTATGTTTTTTTTTTTTGTTTTACTTAACTGATCTTCTTTGTTGGGTCTCTCTCGTTTAAAGGTACTAATTTGGTGAAAAAGGCCATCTATGCCATGGTGGAGGGGGACTGTGATGAGGTAACACCAGCCAATCTCTCTTTTAGTTTGAGTCCAAATTTTAAAATGTATCTGTGGGGGGCGGGGGGAATACAGTTTTTATTTAATCCTCAAACACATTTATTGTATTTGTGCAGAGCTGAGATAAAGCAACACATGGCAAATATGATTTTTGTAATATTTGGTAAGAATTTATTAGTGTTTAAAAATATAAGTTCCTACTGAAGTCTGTTTCTGCAATTCTGTTAAATACATTTGTTGTGAAAGCACAAAAATTCAAACGACTTGCATAAACTTCACAAATATTTTTTGAAGTAAGAAGTGTAATACATTCTTGAAAAAACTGTTTTCATTTAATATCGACAGTACTCTACTAGACTGTTTTAACTCCTGCATTAGGTTAAACGTGCTCATTCTGAAGATCTTTATTAATGCTTTGAGACGTCTTCTGTTCTCCCTTTATCTAGCTTCATTCAATCAACTTTGCACTCCCACACCATGATTCTGCCACCACTGTGCTTCACTGTTGGGACAGCGTGCAGAGCGCATTCATTTACTCTCGTCTGTTCTACGAGCTAGCTGCGTTTCCATTACAGATGTGCGCAAATCTTTGTCGATATTCTGCTGATGGAAAAAAACAACACAATTTCGCAATTGCGATGCTTCTATTAAGTGAAAAATTCAATTAAAATCACTCATGAATAAGCCTGTTCACATGATAAGGTATTAGGAATAATGGCAGTCAGTAGTAATTTGTGTGATGCAAAAAAAAAAAAGTGTTTCCAGTGCAGTCTTGCGAAATCCATCAATTTTGACCGACGAACCCAGGGCAGAAATTTTCTATCAAAAGACACAAGTCTTTTCAAAATTGCTGTGTTTCCATTAAGCAAAGTTATGTTCATAATTTCAATTTGCGAGGATTGAAATGACAAAAATGTGGTGTGAATGTTCCAAAATGCTAAAAAGTCGACGCGGCTAGGCGGCGCACGACGTGCTGTAAATTCAGTTCCACTTTTACCTTCAAGAGCCCCAGCTTACTAAGCGATCCTCTGTGTTACCCGCAGGTCGTCCTGGAGACGGAGATCACCAATAAGTCGGCCCTGAAGCTGTACGAGAACTTGGGTTTTGTCAGAGACAAGCGGCTGTTCAGATACTACCTGAACGGGGTGGACGCGCTGCGGCTCAAACTCTGGCTCCGCTAGAGGGGGTGTGGGGCGGCGGGTCTCCAGGTGCTGCTCACCTCTAACACTAGGAGCTCAACAGCCTGAGCTCCGCCCTTGGTCATTACACACACACACACACACATATATACACACACAAACACCCCCCCGTTTTGAAACGCGAGGAGTTAGCATCAACACAGGCACACCTTCCTTTCCTCCTCGACATCCGAACAACTATCGCTTAGGCGGAGAGAGACTGAAACGCCAACAGACGTGTTTTATTTTTTACAAAGAGGGGCGGCCTCTTCTCCTCCTTTGTCCCCCCCCCCACCCCTCGTCTCCCGCACTGTGACATGACAGGATCTCCACGAGGACAAGCGGCACCACACCAAATCATCCTGCAGAACACTGGACCAAACGGACCTGCAGGAAATGACACGCAGGAAGCTGCGACCGGGAGGAAAATATTTGTGAAGTTTTGTTTTTTTTTCGCTTTGTTTTGTTTTTTAAGCTTTTGTTTGGTTGGGGAGGGTTAAAGATCCAGTCTGACTCATGTGTTTGTACTGCCACATGATCTTATTTTTTGGGTGTGTGTGTGTGTGTGATTTTTGGTTGTATGTGCTGCTGTTGGTTTCACTGAGATTTAAGCGAACATGTTTTGGGTGACTGCTTGGATGCGTACTGTATGGTTCAGTTTGTTTCTCGTTCTGTCCACTGGGCGCGGCGCCCCCCTTCTGCTGTCTCTCCCATCACCTGGACCAGAGCCTGTAAACACTTGTGTGTGTTTTAATGCGAGAGAAAAACAAAGCTCCTTTTTTTTTTTTTTTTTTTTTTCCCCCCCATTTATTTATTTTATTGTATTTTTTTGGTCCAGACCAGTTGTTCAATTCAAATCAATCCACAATCACCTCAAAGTTTTTGCCCAACTGCTTCATTTTTTATCATTTTTGATGTCTTTCACAATATCCAACCCTTTCAGGGTGATCTTAGGGAGTTTAATTTCTGTTTTTTTTTTCTTTTTCTTTCTCTCTCTCTTCAGTACACTGCCAGCCTCTGCAAAATGCCCCCAAAAGAGACTCTTTGCCAAGGATGGTGTGGTCATACATGTCCAAGCTGTCTCTGTTTACTAATTGACATGAGCAGTCCCATTCTCAAGTGCCACTCTATCCATTAGGACCGACTGGAGTTAGATCTGCACGTCTGTTCCCTATGCTGGATTCCTGTTTGAGTATGCTGTGTGTATTTAAACTGTTGATAAAAAGAAGAAAAATAGGCAAGTATTCTTAGCAGATAACATCTTTATTCCTTTTGTTTGAGCTCAGTTTATTTAGGATTCGTCCACAGTATGCCTCAGAAAAGCAGCTGGGTCCACAATACTTGATGCACGACTCGCCCCCAGAACCTTCAGAGAGCTCACACTGACTGGCAAAGAAATACTGCTTCAGCTGCTTTGGGGTCATTATTTCCTTTACAACAAACAAAAAAGTAAAAAGAACAAGGTCAGATGCACTTCTTTTTAAATTGCTGCAGTGTGTACGAGTAAAGAAGAGTGTGTGTTCTGCGACTTTAACAGCAGTGTGGGTCGGTGCTGTTCAGATTTTCTGCATGGTTAAGTCGGCTTTCAGTGCGTGCTTCGCCTCGACTTCCGCGGTTTAGTCGACAGTATTCAAAGCACCGCAGGAAGCTGGCATGCGGCACTAGTGGAAATGTTTTACCTGTTATTAACTAGTAGGCATGGGCTGGTTTCACGTTTTTCAAGCGATACGGCACGGTATTAAACCACAGGATTTTTCTTACTTTCTAAATTTCCCTAATTTAGACACCACGGCAAGAGTCGATAAGCGCTGTTGAAAGCCGACAACATTTTACATGAGAGACAAATTTGTCTTTTGGGAAATATTTCCTACCACAAAAAGTTTTGGTTGGGAAGGTAGAAATGCGCCACCCATATCGAATTAATTGTGTTTTAAAACCACAGCTTGCTAGCTCCTAGCTATCCAGTACGGCTAGTCATTTAAAACCTAGCAGAATTAGCTGTTTATTAGCATTGTCAGGCAGTTTTTTATTACATTAAATTAATTATAAAGTTGTACAACAGTGCGTCTTGTTTATGTGCTCGACAGATTTTTTATTTTATTTGTTTTTTCAAAAGTAAGCACACCCCTTGACGAACTCTGTCTCCATTATAGCTACGTCCATTTAAACTATTGTAAACTCTTAAATTATCGTGTTGGCTCTCATGAGTTAAACATTTTTTTCTTTATATGGTTGGAACACTTTAAATAGAGAGAGTTGCCATAGTAGCCAAGTAATTTGCAAACCTCGCTGTTTTTTTGGAATTAAACCCGTCAGCTCGGAAGCTCCAACTTCCGACGATATTTGAAGGCACCACCTAATGCCGTTGCACTTGTGTTACTCTCCATATAACAGAACAGCAAAAATAAAAATACCCTGTGCACCAGGAGCACTTGGAAACTACAACTAAATATAGTAGATGTTTATTTTAAAATGCTCTGCTAATTCCATTTATTCAAACGGAAGATGATTTAAAATGTCATTATGAGTAATAATTTTGCAACTTTTAGCAGGTGTAGGGACAAAGGTAATCAGGACATGTATATTTTTGTTCTAAATTAGCTCATTAATACAGTGACGTGTTTATTCAGACCGGCCCATGCCTATTAACAGAACACATATGTGATCATTTGAAGCTGTCATGGCAGTCTATGGCTGAACGCCTCTTTCAGATTTACACTACATGCATTTGTTGGCATTTCAGGTTTATTGTAGATGAGCCTAAGAACAGAGCTGCCACCCTGTCTGTGTGAGTTTGTGTCCGTGTGTATTTGAAGCCACTGATCGGATTACCTATTTTCCTTTATTCAGATTTGTATAATGGTGTTTTTTTTATCATGTGTGGGGTTGGGACTGAGTTATTTGACTAGATTTCTTTCTTTTCTTTTTTTTTTTCTTTTTTTTTTATTTCTGTGCTACTTTCACCCATTCGGAGGTTCAGTGAGAATGATGAGCAAACAAAAAATAATAACCTAGACCCCCAGAAGCAAAGTGTTCCTGCTTGTCTGACATCCTTCAGTTTTATTGGTGACCCTCTCTCCAGAGCTCCAGGTTCATTCTGAAGGTTGACCTTTCTTCAGCCTTTCCCACCGGTTGGTGTTGCTTTTTGGACGAAAACGATCCACAACTCTCTCTCAGTTCTGCAAATATCGGTCACTTCCTGGAATTTCAAGGGCATTTCAGCCTCCATTTAGGCCATGATCACAGACTGAAGGGCTTTGTCATCATCAATTCATAGCCACTGACTGGTGTTGCATTCGTTTCATAAAGCGTCAGCCAGACGAAGTAAGGTGACCGGCTGCCACCCAACGGTTCTGACTATAAATTCCCAGCTAAAAAAAACAAAACAAAAAAGCACTCCCCTCAGATTATTATTGGCACAATCACGCAGAGGTTCCTGCAAGTCTTTCAGAGACGGACACACCACCTCCAACGAGAGACCCATGCGGCAGGAAGAAGGGGGGAGAGCAAATAGTTTATTTTTGCATGTCTGTTCCACACAAACACACACACACACACACACACATGCTCCTCCTCTCCCCCTCATCTCCCCTCTCTCTGTCATTTTTGATCTGGAAATGTCCAATAGCTTTTATTTAATGTGGAAAAAGAACACAGAAATAAATTATTTGATTTCTTTTTTTAATGCTGTAAAACTGAATTGTCTTGTCTGCTGTCTGATATGACACACACACACTTATCCACACACTCAGGGTCATTTCGGTGTTTAAATGAGTTTGTGTCTTTTCTAAATCGCATTTGAACAACGTCAACTATTTGCACAAGTTTTAATTTATGGCAGAGTTATGCATGCAAGCGCAAGTCTATACATACTACCCTGTTTATATTTGGATTAAGTTCCCACCAACAATCTTTTTTGCTTATTTCTGGTTATTTCATATCTTATGAGAAGTAGCATAGCATTTTCTGGCCTACTCCTTACATATTCAGTAGCATCGAGTTGAGAACTGCAGGGAAATCACTCGATAAGCTTCCAGAACCAGTCTGAATTTACGAGTGGAACGTACAACTGTGCTGAAGTCGGTAAAGAAGTCGATTGTTTCAAAGGAATCAAGTTGCTTTGTTTCTTTTTAAAACCTTCGGTCATGCATGGAGGTGGTAGCGTCATGCTGAGGGTGTGTTTTCCTGTTACTAATACTGAAATTTGTACATAATTGGCTCTTTAAAAAAAAAACACAATGATTTCAAACACACCCAAAACTCTGATATGATGTGAAATCATAAACACTCTGGGGGGGGGAAATTGGTGGAAATGCATCAATAAAGGCCCATCTCCGTGGTAGCGTATTACTGGACCAGATTTTTATTTTTTTTAAGTACATTTTATTTACACAGCACAATAAAATCCTATTTGCTTTGAACATTACATCTAAAACATTTTAAAAAAGGCGGCAACAAATTAAATAATCAAATATTTTTTTTATTAAAAACAGGTTTGTTGTGGCCAATAAACAAAAACAGACATCTACAAGAACTGTGGATTTGATCACCACTCTTCATATTTACAGACCGTAAGCATTTTACATCACGCTCACATCAAAATGGAAAAATATATAAACAAGCAGGAAGCAGGTCACACCGACGAAAGGTTCTACGTGTTTTAATTTGACCTTATTGGTTATTGCTTACAATCATCCCATATCTTTAACCCCAGTTCACAATTCTGCTTTTTAAAAGCAGGTTAAGCAAATAAACTGAATCTCCAGAGATTTGGAAAGATCTAATCTTTTCTCTTTACTCTCCCTCGGTGCGTCAAAAAGGTCAAATATGAGAAAATAGTTCAGGAGATGAGACGATTTTACATTTGAGTTATTTTGTACATCAGAGTGTGTTTTATGCTACATGTAACTAGGATGACGATGTTCGGTGTGTTGCTTTGTTCCAGCAACTTCTGTCAAAAGAATTTGATATAAATTGCCTTTAAAATAACATTCAAACTAGACATCTTTTCTTTAAAATAGATCACATAACTACAGTACACAACAGACGTCATCACTGGAAATGACACATAGAAATTAAATTCCAGTTATTGACACTTTAACTAAATCTCCTTATCATGAATTGAAAGCAGCAGAGAACCTCAAAGGCTTTTTTTTTTTTAGGTCCAACATTTTGCTTCTATAAGCAATAATAATAATGTAACAATAAGTTCATTTCATCTCATGTTATCACGAGGAGATGAAATGAGCTTTAAGTGTTGAAAGATTAAAAACAATGTCAAAACTGGCTCAATTTAAAGCTTTTTACAGCAACCTTACGTCAGGCAGTCACCACCGACCAAAAGTTTGATCCTCATAAAGCAGCAAATATTTATTTTTACAGAGCAGTACGGTTTCTTGCAAAAGTATTCACACCCCTTGAGCTTTTCCACAGATTGAATGTCACTGTGTTTTACTGGGGCGACAGAGCAACACACTATAGTAATTATAGTGGGCTGAACACATGTATGCACACTTTTCTTTCATTTTTTATAAGTTTGTTAAAAAAAAATTCAACAATTCAAATCTGCATTGAAGTTTGTAGCTGAAACATGACAAAGTGTGAAAAAGTGCATGTAAGAATACTTTTGCAAGGCGCTGCATGTGTAAACGTTAGTGTGAATATTGATCAAATTGATCTTAAGGGCCTCCTGATGTTTTCAGTGCCAAAGCCCCACAGGTCACACTACCAAGGCCTTCCTCGGTGAATCTGAGCGGCTCGTGTGAACTGTGTTTTGGCGTCGGTGTCTCAAGGCTCCAGCGGCGCTCTTCGTGTCAGGCTTATCTCTGCAATCTGGACGGCCTCCGTTCCCGCTCAGCCAGGCAAACAAAAGT